TAAGTCCTCATCTGATGCCCTGCCGGCACTGCTTCCGGCCATCCTTAACCCCGGTTCAGGGTCCACTTAATGTGGACATGCTAGTTTGAATTAGCAAAACGCTAATTCGAACTAGTTTTTTAGTCTGGATGCGTTAGTTCGAATTAGCGCTGTAGTGTAGACATACCCTCAGATAGGAATGCTCTGAGCCTTCTCACAAGGTTTCTGGAGTCTGATGCCCTGCCGGCACTGCTTCCGGCCATCCTTAACCCCGGTTCAGGGTCCACTTAATGTGGACATGCTAGTTTGAATTAGCAAAACGCTAATTCGAACTAGTTTTTTAGTCTGGATGCGTTAGTTCGAATTAGCGCTGTAGTGTAGACATACCCTCAGATAGGAATGCTCTGAGCCTTCTCACAAGGTTTCTGGAGGGCAGCCTTATTCCATCCTCCATAGTAGGACACCTCCAGGGTAGGACACCTTTCCATGCTAAGCCAGCAGTAAGTGGTCTGGTGTCATTGCTTGCATTGGATTATTACACTCCGTCAGCTGGCCCAAAGAGGGGGGGAAGGCAGAGCTCACGTAGGAAAGAAAAGGACCGAGGGAGGGTTTGTGGGTGGGGCCATCAGACCTATGTGGCTGGGTTTTGGAAAGGTTGCTAACAAAGTTAAAATAAGTTAGTGACCAGCAGCTGTTTTGTCTGTGATCTTTTGGCGTTCACGCGGTTTTAATCTATTTCAGACACTACGGCTATGTCTAGACTGGCAAGATTTCCGGGAAATGCTTTTAACAGAAAAGTTTTCCGTTAAAAGCATTTTCGGAACAGAGCGTCTAGATTGGCACAGAATCTTGGAAGGGGCACCGGCCCGGGCGCATGGCACGGTGCATGTGGGGGCCCTGCCCCAAGGCACGCGGCTATGGGGGTCCCCGCCTCCGGGTGCGCAAGTGTCCCTGTCCTCTGGCGCCCGGCGGGCGAACGGCCACGCCCCCTGGCGCCCAGCAACCCCAAATGGTTGGGGACCACTGATATAGAGTGACCAAGAAGCCTTGGTGATAAGTGCAGTGTACATTTCCAAATAGATGAAATATTTGTATTGCACCTACGAATACACACTCTCTCTAATACACTTAGGCATTTGGAGGTGTCTGGAATATTAAGGTATTTTGTTCTATATATAACAAATATATATTTGTTCTATTTTGCACTTCCACACTAGGTTGCAGACACTGTAAAACATAGGTTTTGTTTAGACTACAAAAATGGTCAAGTTTACTTCAGGTTTCTCTCTCTGGTATCCCACAAATTGAGTCAGATTTTTCCCTTGAACGCCTATAACTGATGAGTATGTAGCTAAGATAGGCCAATTCTGGCAAGGAACACTCTCTGGCAGTGGGTGCATGTGAGATCTCTATCTCTGTCAGCGCCGACACCAGCGGTGCTGATGCGGACCTAGGCATCCTCCTTACATTAGACTCTCTGACTTTCTCCATGGAGACGTCACTTGATCACAAAGTGTCGTGCACTGTTCTTGATGGTGGTCCTCCAGGTTACCTGATACTTCACCTGCCTCTCCCAGGTGTCAGCATCAATGCCACACTTTACCAAGGTATTCTTAAGGACATCCCTATAGTGCTTCCTCTGCCCACCACGAGACCTCTTTCCAGTCCTCAGCGGAGCATAGAAAATTTGTTCAGGCAAGCATGTGTCAGGCATCCTGACCATGTGCCCAGATCATCATAGCTGCCTGTGGACGACTATTGCCTCGATGCTGCAGGAATCAGCTTCTGCAAGGACACTAATGTTGGTCCATCTGTCCTGCCATGTGATGCCCAATATTCTCCTGAGGTACCTTTGGTGGAATTTCTCCAGATCTTTAATATGTCATCTATAGGGAGTCCAAACTTAAGCTCCATATAACAACGCTGGGATGATTACGGCATTGTAGACATCAATCTTGGTCTGCATCTTGATGTCACAAGGCGCTCGGGCGGCCCCGGGGCACATGCTGGCGCCGGGTGCAAGGGCATCCCCACCCCTGGCATGCCCCAGGACGTGCAGCCCCGCCCCCGGGCGCCCGGCGCGTGAGTGGCCCCGCCCCCGGGCGCCTCTAAAGGTTGGGGACCACTGCCTTACGTTAATTTGTTCAGTTGTGTCACCACTGGAGTGTCATGTATGGCATCCAATTGTGCACCAATGAATTCCAGGTGTTATACCAGTGCTGAAGTCTATTGTCATGCAGATGGCTCAGAGTGTGTCAGTCTCTGATGGGGCCTTGAGGAGACAGTTATCCAAATATGGAAAGACAATGCTTGTTTTCTTCCAAAGGAAACCAAAAAGACCTTGAAGAACCCCCAGGGGGCTGCTAACAGCCTGAAAGGCAGTACACTGTAGTGATAGTAGTCTTTTTTTACAACAAATCAGAGAAATCACCTTTGGACAGGGTGAATTATAATATGAAAGAATGCATCTTAAAGATTGAAGGTCAAGAACCAGTTCTGCAATAATAGTAGAGCAAAAATATAATAATAATTCCAGTGCTGCAATAATAGTGGTAAGAGTAACCATCTTGTAGAGTTGCAGTTTGCATTTTAAACAAATTCATCAAAGGTCCAGGATGGGGCACCAACCACCAGTTTTCTTCTGGATCAGAAAGTAATGGGTTGGACCAGACCTGCTGCAGCCAGCACCCCTCCACTTGCCCCAACTCTGCTGTGGCCCCTCTCTGCCATGGTGCCCCTCCCCTAGTCTGAACCCAGCCATGGCCAGAGCAGCCTGGACCTGCCATAGCCAGGGCGCCCTTCCCCTGGCCCAAACTTAGCACTAGCCCAGACTTACTAGGCCAGAGAAAGAGTGCCTATCCTGTTACCCCATCCCCATGAGGGGGAGAGGCATCTCTCCCCTCAGTCCAGACGCTGCTGTTGAGGTGAAAAAGCTGTAGGAAGTCCTCTCTCCCTGCCATAGCCCCAGAACACCCTCCTGCACTCCAAACCCTTCATTTCTGGCCCCACCACAGAGCTCACACCCCCAGCTGAAGTCCTCACACCCATGCACCTCCACCCTCTGCCTCAGTCTCAAGCTCCCTCCCACAAAGCAAACACCTCGGCCCCACCCCTACCACTAAAATGAAGGTGATGTGTTGCACACCTCTATGTTGGTGCACATTAAAAATGCACTCTGCACATTGGTGGGAAAAATTAGAGGGAACATTGGTAAAAGCCCTGTCCCCTGTGTTTGAAAGGAACAGGTATAGATATGGCTGTCATGATAGAAGATGATTTATTTCTCCCCTTACAATGAGTTTGAGAGAAATGTCCCTGGAAATAAAAAACATATCAATGAAGTATCATTTTATACTACATTTTCTCTTTTAAAACAAACACTTACTTCAAATTCTTTAATAAAGTAACGTATTTCTCCTTGAATAATTGGCCTGTGATCCAGCAGTCGGGAATAAATTTCTCCAACATCTAGAAGAGTAATGAAATCCAAAGTTTTATTTTCTAAATACATACAGTAATCTGAAATAGGCTAGAGAACACTGTGAAGCATAATGTATGTCAACAAAAGCAGAAGTTAAAAATAAAAATACACCATTATCCAAAGGACAAGCAAACTAATAGAAGATTTCAACTAACGCTGTGTGATAGTATTAAATTAGATAGACTTCCTGGCTATTCAACAAACCCACCATCTTCAAACAAATGTCACAAAAAAACAATATTCTGCCATACAGGTGCTTCATGGCTGCTGTGAGAGTACAGGCAGGGTTTCTATTCCCCCACCTATTACCCACTGTTGGAGGTTTCACCCCCAAAGGATAGCTGTAATATCTGCTTCTGATGCTACTTAGATATGACAAGAAGCAAAGCAGAGTGATTGTTTCTTGTCAGTTTCCACTCTGCTACAGTTTGGGAAAGCTGTACGCATCAGTGAAGGCACATCTGCAACTCTAAAAGACAATACTACTCCAGTTTGGAACTAATTTGGAAGGTTTTCTTTGCAACTCTAGTGCCTAAGATATATATTTTGTAAATGAAAGCCTTGATTCTACAGTTGAGGGAACTTGCTTACAAATATTTCCTACCTGCCCCAGATAAGTGAGTTATTTCAAGTTTGGGAAAATGGAAATTATGGACAAAGTTTGCAATAAATACTGTTTATGGTAAAATGCTACATATCATCACTTAATGAATCTTACAAATTCTGATTTTTGTCCTACTTCAACCTCTACTTAATATCTGAAGAGCATACAGCCCTTGAAAAGGAAGGCAAGAAAAGTGGAAATTTTTAAAGGATAGGTGCAAGGATCTCTAAGTCTTCATTTTTAAGATATGGGTTCTTAAAGTTAGAGGTTTGTTAGGGGATCTCATTAAGTAAATCCATTTTCCAATGTGTGGCGTTCCGAAAATCTCACTGACTTGTTCAAAGCAAAGCTGCATGGCCAGCACCTCTGAAGATCCATACAACAATTAATGGGTTTAAAATTAGGCACTTAAATCTGAGAATATGGGTCTTAGTACAAAGAAACAGGATATAATTTCAATGGGTGAACGCAATACAAGAAAACACACGAACATGAGAGCCTACGAAAATCAGGCCACCACCGCATTTTGAGCTGCAGAAGCTAGAAATGAAATGAAAAGGCAACAGTATTGTGCAGTGATTAAAAATGACATTCTTGCTAGGCCTACTTCAGAAGTGGAGAGTAGCATCAGAAGGAAGAGTTCAAAAACAAGTGTTATAAAATAATTGTTATAACAGGCTAGTTTGCTATCAGAGATAGGATACAGAACCAGATGGTTTCCGATCAAGTATGAACTGATTCATAGAGAAAGATGCAAGAAAAACATGCAAGAAACTCTGTACGGAAAAATTATGCCATAATGTGTCCCTAAAAGTGTGTCTACACAGCACCCTAAACTTGAAATAAGATACACAATTTGTGTAGCACAAATTGTATATCTTATTTCAAAACTATTTCAAAATAGTTTAGCTACAGAGTCAAATTTCAAAACAACACACTATTTGGAGACATCCCTTATGCAATGAAGTTTACCGGGATGGCGAAATAGCGTGACCATTATTTCAAAAAATATTTCGAAATAACAGGTGGCTTGTGTAGACGTGGGGTAGGCATAGATCAGCAGGGCCACTAACAGACAAGAAGTGGGGAGAAAGGGGGTGAGGAACTTGGCACCAAGGGAACTCCATACTAAGGATGTTAGAAAGCCGGTAATCAGGTAACCATGTAACCACTGAAAATCTGAGTGGCTACACGCACCCACAGCGTGGGGTGACAGCCAGCTCTCCAGGAGCCAGTATGTGCTGTAAGCCAGCTTTTAAGATGGTTCCTAGTAGGGATGTAAGCTACTACTCAACTAGTTGCTTCCTTCCCCTCCCTTGCTTCCAGTAGAAAGTCCTGCTAGCCCCACCCAGGCTCTTGTACATTTCAAAGGCTGAGGAACAGCAGGAAGTGAGGGGCCAGCAGGGAGTCTCTGCTGGCCCTCTTGTACATTTCAACGGCTGAGGCGCAGGGAGCATGGGGCCAGTCCCCCTCTGGCTTTGCGCTCCCTGAGGGGCTTGCACTTTTGCCCAGCTCCTGCTACAGTTCAAAGACGAAGGGACTAGTCAGTTGATGGACATTCCATGGACTATTCGATTAATTTAAACGTAACATCCCTAGTTCCTGGCATGTACCAGCTCCTGCCTACTGTCACCCTGCTCTGCCTGTGCACCAGGAGTGGGGCAGGAGCCTGTATATAACAGTTAACAAGACCCATTTAAATGGTTATACTTTTACATCCCTACTCTGCACCCACTCATTTATCCCCGTGAGTGCTCCAGTCCCAGGATACTGACCCACAATGCCAGGACCTATGATCACGGGTGCTCTTTAGCCAAACCCCGTTCTCGCTCCTCCCTGGATCTTGCTGAGCGCTCAGCCGCTCTGCAGGCTGGGGGG